TATGCATACATATTTTCATCATAAAATTAACATTGTTAATTGATTTGTGCCTTTTAATGATGTCAGGCTGTACTTAACACAAATGTACATAATTATAGAGAGGTATAAACTAATGTGTGGATTATGAATGGGCACTTACTCTACATAGTAGACACCATAGACAGGGTCTTCAATCTTTTCCCAACCAGCAGGCAGTTCTGAAAAATAAAAGAACATTTACGGCAAGAAGAGCATATTATTGAAGAGCCTGGGTATTTTCAACAACTGAGTTAGGCAAAAAGAGAAAGACTCATAAAAATGCTTTAAATCCAATTAAAACTGTATATCCTAACCAAAAAAAAAAAGTATCTATTATTTTATCAGTGTATTTTTCTACATGAAGAGCAATTCTTCATCTACTGACTGGTATTTAATGCAAGAAAATAAAATTTAATAAAATGCAGCCCCGGATGCCTTTATTCTAAATCACTATTAAATTAGATTTTAATGAAAATATAGGTTAAACTTGCCTTGAACGCATAGTTCCTATCTTAAATGTTCACAGTTTTCTCATTTTGTTTCTAGGCCATCTTATTACACAAGCAAAAATGGATGAAAATTAATGTTTCATTTTCAGTACAGTAGTGTTGCTTTGCTCTCCTTGAAATAAAATAAAATCTGCATCTTATTTTCTCCTTGTTCCTAATGAAAATGTAGTTGGGTTTTTTAACTGCACACATCTATCACTCAATTGCTATCTCTAGGCTGGCCCATCGTTTCCATACTTAACCTGTGAAAGCAGTAACACAGCTCCTGATCCCGGAAAGCTCATTATCTAAGGTGGACGATTTTATTTCTTTAAATGTGGTGGTACCATCACACTAGGGGATGTATGTGCCTTTCTGAAAACTCAACTACGCTCTACAGAACTTCCTAAGGTTTCATATCAAAGGCCAAAACTTTATTAAACAGGTAATAGTTCTGTCTGAACAGGAATCTGTTGTGGAAAGGCCCACTGCACCACATTATTTTACTTGGTGAAAGAAGGGACTAGATTGTGTTTTTTTGTCATTAAACAACCCTTTCAGGTAGAACAACAGTTATTCAACTTAATTTTAAAGCTTCCCTGACATGTAGTCAAGGCAAACTTACGTAATACCACACTCTAAAGTGAATAATTAGTCCTAGAAGTAGGTATTAAGACCAACTTTGATAGAATACTACAGACTTGAAATATTTGAAATAGATTTTTGTTTAATTCAAAGAATCATGTGGTCACTAATTTAAATAATGATCATGTCATCAGGGCAGAAGGCTTACATATGCTACAAACAGTTCCAGACTGAGGTGGAGCCATGCACATGCACACAAACTTATACAGACTAATTACTTAAAGTTTATGTTTTGTTCAGATTTGGCTGCATATCAAGAGACATTAATTTCATGGTTTTTGCTCCACATGTTACTTGTTTGCAAACAAAGAGACAGGTTTTCCCCTCTTTTCTTCTAAATTAAAAAGAAAAAACATTTAGCAGGTTTTAAAGAAGTCTGACTTGTAGGACACATAAGCTACTAAAATGCAAGACAGGTCCAATTTGCAGATGTTGATACAACTCGGCATTTTTATATACTGAGTCTTGCGGACCGATGCAAATTAAATACCTGGGAAATGCTTTCCCCTTACAAAGCTGGAAATTACCATTTAGATGAAAATGAACCAGGAAAATATTTCCAAAGAGTTGGGAAATCGAAGATTAAAAAAATGCAAATTGGTGCACAGTCATACATTTGTACAGGGCAGAAGGGTGGGTGGGTGTGAGGAGGCTGCATTAAGTTCCACAGAAACACCATCTCTTTTCAAAATCTGCAACCTGAAATATGTGGCCTGATTATCTTTAGATAAAACAGGGGAAATATTAAGCTTTCAAGTTACTCAATTATTAATTTGACAAACATTTGTTGAATGCCTACTGTTTGCCTGAGGGTATGTTAGGCATCAGGGACACGAAGACAAACGCCAAGTGCATCATCTAAGCAGAAAATTCAGCCACGTGGTATGTGCTTTGATGGAGATCCGAGGAGAGTACTAGAAAAGAAGGTACCCGTGACTTCTTTCCTAGTGCCTAGTCAACAACTTAATATTCTAGAGTTGAAACATGGGGCCAGTCAACTAGCATCTCTGGACACTCGTCAGTTTAAACACATCTTTTGGAACAGATGAGCAAACTCCAGAAACTGAAAAGATAGTTTCTCACTTCCAATGTGGTGATTAACTTAATCATAGAAATTAGTCTCCTAATGCTTAAAATAGAAATGGGTCATCGATTTTAAATAGGAAGATGTTTGTCCTAGAATTTGCCATTTGGTTCTAAAAAACTGAAAAAGGTAGAAAATATTTAAGTCCAGAAAATAATGGCATTATAATTTTTTAAGCAAACACTCTAAAGACTCTTAAAAAGGAATCCTCATATGACTAACCACAGTCAGGGAGCAGATGAGACTGCACAACCTATCACAGAGATTTCAGGTGGCTAAGATCCTTTTGGCATTGCCCAGATATAAGATTGAGCTTTAGTTCTTTCATTTAGGCCTACTACTCTGTGGCTTTGGGCTACTTACTTAACATCTCTGAACCATATCTTTCTCCTGGGTTTACCTCAAAAGTCAGTAGTGGATTAAACAAGGATACTTCTAAACACTTAGCACAGTTCCTGGTACATAGAAAGTGCCCACAAATTGCAGCTGCTCCAGGAAAGCACAAAAGGAGTAAGACAGATGTCTGTGGCCTGTGTACTTGCTACTCCTGCCTCTGAAAATCTCATGCTGCACTATTTTGTCTTCACAGAGCAAATATTGAGCAAAGGTTCTAATTTCTTTTCAAAGAGATTTGTCTGTGTATAGATTGAAAATCATGTTCAAAACCAGAGATACATTTCAAAACTGTGACTTAGTTTTGGTTGGGAGAAGAACTTATTTTCTTGGCTCTATCCCCCCTAGTTGGTTTCACCATACGAACACCCTATAATTCCAAAAGAAGGTTCTGCAGGTGCTTTTTAATTCTGGGGAGATGTCTGCAGAGGACGTGATAAATTCTGCAAACCAAAGTACATAATGGAGCAACTGACCCAGCTCAAACAACAGAGTTCAGAAATGACAACTCTATAATCAAATGATCTGTGTCCAACACCCAAGCCAACTGCCCACGCCTCTCAGAGGCCGATTACAAAGAGGGTTTCCTTGTCACATCTGGAATTGCATTGTTCACTGAAAACCTGACAGTTGCTATTGTTTGAAATTAGGACCCTCTTATTAAGAAAATGAGCAGTGAGCTTGTCAACAGAATCTGAAGTGAATGTAACAGAAAACAGTGTGTGTGCACGTGTGCTACTCTTTACACAGTGGACATGTGCAGGCAAAAATCAAAGGTTTTTTTTTTTGTATCGCTACCCTTCCTACAAGAACACATTTGGGTCATTTCTATAGTATAGAACACATTCCTCCCTTGCGCTGTGTTAATGGAAAAAAGTACCATAAGGAAGTATGGAAAAATCCAAGAAGAGGGAATTAGGTAATAAATAATAAAGCTGCAAATAGCTAATAGCATGTGTTGATCACAGGGACAAATAATAAAACACACTTTCATTAAATCACCTCATAAGGACAATGGGAGCTCCTGTTTCGGCCCGTCTTTATGGATAAGGAAAGGGAAGCTAAAAGAAGGTGAATAGCTTCTCAAAGTTTGCATAGCCAGTAAGCAGGGGAGTCAGACAGCTTGATCTGAACCCAGAGAAAGCCAAGACAACTCATGTTTAGAGTCTTTAACAGCATAAGCAAGTCTTCACGATATCATAGTTACATATGGGTAAAATGCAGAAACATCTTTCCTGAAAATTTCAAATTCAAATTTCCAGAGAAACAAATAAGGTTGTGCCCCTGTACACAGCTGTGCTATCTCCACTGGCTGCCAGCAGACAGCAGAGCGATCTCTCACACATATTACTCAGGTAGCAAGAGTAGTTGAAATCGGCTGAACAAATGATTAAGACACTCATTTTGTGTCTGGAAAACCTATTTCTGTCTCTTTCAATTACTTTAACTAATACCATTGGATTGACAATTTCTTTTTTCGATCAAATTAGTTTCAAATTGTTCTATCATTCAGGGTGAACCTTAAGTCATTCCTCTCACAATGACCACAAAGACAACTTATTAAACATCTTTAAAAATAGATCGATCAATAGTTATCGACCATTGTTGGCATATGCATCAATTACAACAGGTACGTTTCAAATGTTACAAAAAACAGAGCTTGGTTCTATTCTATCATAATTCTAGCCAACCAAGACAGATTATCTTTATCTCATGTAACAAAAATAAAGAAAACCAAATGAATACAATAATCTGTATTAAATAGATTTATATTTTCAGGTCTTCAGGCAATCTCAAAAATGCCAGGCAGATTCAATAATCTTACTACAGTTCCACTCATACTGATGTTAAACAATCTTCTACTTAAACAATATTCAATTGCTAAAGAATCTTCCCATCAGCCGAGGCTTTCATCTGCAATTTAGCTGAAATTTATGCTTTCCTATCTATCCATCAGTAAATGTATCTGATGGAATGCAAGCTAATTTTAATGTTGTTCAAGGTTGAACATAAAAGGACTGAACTTAATAGCGAACATAATTCAATATATTCCAATAGCAAAGAAACAAGAATTTGGCATCATCTGCTAGCATGAATTATTCCTAAACAATAACTAGAGTAGTCAAGACTTGATTTGTATTGACACAACTCGAAGGCAAACAGTACATATAGGTGCTGCATCACTATATAAACAACCACTCACTATAACGGCAAGGTCAACAACATGTGGTCTGTGATGTAATAACAACATGATCCTAAGTTTTAACTACTCAATTCCTCAGTGACCTTCTTTTATTGCAAGTGCTCCTATAATGCTCCTTAAACTAGTGTTAATAGATTTTTGTTTGTTCTGCTTGGCTTTTTTGTATTACCCAAATAACCATCCACACTAAACAAATAAAGAAATAAGACTGAGACAGGTTACGCAAAAGTTCAAGGGACACAGCAAGCATCTCTTCGGTTTTTTCCCAATCCTCATTTACAAGACTACCTATTACCAGTTTGCTAACTCTCATTCTAGTCTCTGTTCCGTCAGACATTTTATTTGTAAACATAATATATTACAACTCTGCGTGATGCCTGCAGTCAGACACGCAGGTTGTGAGACTGACCTTTCCTGGATAAACTAAAACAAAAATCATAACTGGAGGAGTGCAAACTAAAGAAACAGAGGGATTAAGCAATTCACTGGGGAAAAAACCATGCAGGCCATGTCATGCACGTGTCATGCAGTAGCAGCAGGCAGGAAGGGTTTACCTAGTTCACTGTCCAGCTCCTCGGTGTGTACCCCTTCTTCTCCAAAGGAATAGCAGGAATGAGACAGAAAAGAGAGAAAGCAAAATTCAGACACCAGCACCAAGAAAGGAAATCTCCTCAGGAAAACAGCAGCAAACATCACTCTAGTTCGTCCTTACCTGCATTGTGGCTTATTTCATTGGCTTGGATAGTAAACTCGCGACCTCAGTGTAAATCACAAAACAGGAAGAGCTGATATTGGCAAAATAATTATATGGCTCATTTCCTTGCATGTCAAAATAGGATTTGATTGGTTGTAAAAGATGACAAATACCTTTGCGGTTTCAATGTTCTTAAGTGGGAAGTCACTTATTACAGACCTTATTGGGAGTAAACAAAGCTGTCAGACTTTCAATATCAGTCCTTTTAATCCTTCAATAATCCTCTAATCAGTGAGGCAATTATACTCACAATTAAAGGATTATTTAACTTACAAGTAACAGTGCTGCTTGAAAAATGGAAGGTGAGGTCAAATTGAGTGTGGACTATATAATGAGCTAACTTTGATGTCTTTCAAAAAGGAGCTGGAAAGATGAATTATGTCAAGATAAAATATATGAAGGAAGAAAGCCTTGAAAACTGCCCTGAAGGAGTGTTGGGAGGCATTTTATTGGTTTTGTGAGAACACACACACATGCGCGCGCGCACACACACACACACACTTTCTAAGTCAAGCAGCTCAGAAATATTAGAATTAAAATGTCCTCAAAAATGTCAGTGAGCAAAACAAGTCCAAATCCTTTCCATTCTTGACCTCCTCCTCTTGCTGTCAGTAAAACATTTTATTACTGAGAAGGAAACACAGGAGAACACACAAAAATCATTTCATACCTAATGTTTCCCCAGCTATAGGGCAAGTGGCTCCTATAAGCTTCACAAACACAGGGATCGAGCCTGTTTTCACCACCACAATAGGATCAATGCCCAGTGTAGCTTTCTGCACATGTTAGGTACTAAATATTTGTTGATGAATGAATGAATGAACCAATCAATCAATGATTGACTTAAATAACCAACATGGGCCTAGACATCTTGTAAACTCTTAATTTAAAAATGATTCCAATGCCAATGGTAAGTTTTGATTGGCACTGTTTCTTAAAAGGAGAATCTAATTTACACAAAGTTACCTGTGAAAATGCCCACTTGTATATTATCTAATGTCTTTGGGAGCATTTGTTCACTTCTTCAGTAGTTATTTATCAAGACCTATGATAAATAGGTCTTGCCAGTCACTATGCTAGGTGACATATCAAAATGAACACAATCAGGGGCCAGCCATGGTGTCTCACGCCTGTAATCCCAGCACTTTGGGAGGCCAAGGTGGGTGGATCACCTGAGGTTGGGAGTTCGAGACCAGCCTGGCCAACGTGGTGAAACCCCGACTCTGTTAAAAATACAAAAAAATTGGGCATGTGGCGCTCACCTGTAATCCCAGCTACTCGGGAGGCTGAGGCAGGATAATTGCTTGAACAGGGAGGCAGAGGTTGCAGTGAGCAGAGATCGTGCCACTGCACTCCAGCCTGGGTAACAGAGCGAGACTCTGTCTCAAAAAACACAATCAGACATCTCTGCTTTTCCAGAATAGGAGACAAATCCAAAGCTCACACGAATGAAACTAAAATTAAAATCATGATAAGTTCTCAATAAAGTAAGATACATGAGTGATCTAATCATATCTTTGGGGGCAAAGTCATGGAAAAATTCCCTGAAATATAACCTGAAGGATATGCATACCCAGGATGCACGTGACATATAGAAAGTATTCAATAACTATCGTGAAATGTAAGAGTATAGTGAAATGTAAGGGTATTCTAAGACAGAAATGCACATTTAACTGACATGAGGCAGGAACTCAATGAGGACTAGTGGGGATGAAGAGCAGAGAGCAGAGAGCAGAGAAAGAGTGTGAGGAAACTTAGAGAGGTTGACCACACAGGGCTCAGAGAAGCAAGCTATGGACTTGGCATTTCCTAAGCAGACCCTGTGGAGGTTGTCACTGATAACATCATCACATTTACATTGTAAAAGATTGCTCCGAGTGCAACATAAAAAGGAGAGTGAAAAGAGTCTGTATGGGAGATGAGCATGACCCCAGAGGAGAATGGTAGACGCGGTGAAAAAATAGTGAATGGATCCAAGAGATATTTAGGATGCCAAGTGAATTTAGCTGGTTCACAGGTTAGAAATAGGTGTGAAAAAAAGTGACAGATCAAGGGGGAATTTTGAGTATGCATAAATTTACCAGGAATGGAGACAGGAAACACTTCGAGAGGACCAAATTTGGGGGAAAGATAATCAGTTTTAATGGTTTTAATATGACTGAGTCAGAAGTCTCTTTGAGACAACCGTTGACACTATCCATCAGGTGGATTAAAATATTGGCCCGGAGTTCAAAGGCAAGGTTGAGGGCTTCTAACTGAACTGGACACAACAATGACAGAAGGAGTCATTCACTAACATCAAAATCTCAAACTAGTTTCTCGATTTTCTGAGATAGGAAATATTAAATCTATGCGATTTAATATTTAATTAAATATTAAATGAGATAGAACATATTAAATCTTTACAATAATTAAGTATGATGCTATACTGTTACACCCCATATGTATGACCTACAGAGAACAGAAAGAAATACAGGGGCAATATTTGCAACCAATATGCTTTACTGCTTTGTGTTATAATATAAATAATAACAAGGCAGCTTTGCGTTAACTGGCAACAGAAAACGCAAATTGATACTTATCATAATCTGATTATATATTTATGCTGTTTGTGTGTACAGGCACACAGATACACATAGAATTTCTACTAGAAACAGAATATATGAATTCTAATATTAAAGAGATAATTACTAAACTAATTGCATTTGGTATGAATATATTCTTGTTCCAAAGGAAATAACATTAATACAAAAAGATAATTTTAAGAATTAAAAATTACTAGATTTGGTAACAAAAATGTCAATTCTATT